TTGGTTTTTAAAACATGTCCCAAACAGCTTGTAATTTAACCATGTGCTTTTGTGTTACAAATGAAAATCAGTCATCCAAAATGAAGAAGGTGGAGAAGCCAAAATCTAAGAATGTCCAACAAGGACAAGGACAAGGGTTGACGAAGAGTTCGAGAGGTTCGACTGCGAGTTGTACTCCACTAGTAGAAGCTGACATACTGAACTCGTTGTCCAAAGCATGTACTTTTCTTCACAACCGTGTGAGCGAGTTGCCTAGGGGTAGATCTATTGAAGTGACTTTACCTAAGGCAATGTTCCACTATGATGACGATGGGATCGCACCAATTACAAAAGAGGATGTGAAGGAATTTCTATCGGGTGCCATGCTTAACATTTCCATCATTCAAGCTTTCATGAAGTAATTCACTTCCACTAATCATAATCACCCTAGCTTTGCATTTTCGAATATAAACAATGTAATTAATAAGTAATCCCTACATTACTGTCGTGAAGGGCACTACGAGATCACCTTGTTAGTGGATGCAACTCCGAGGCTGCAATTGGGTGGTTATGCCCCGAGCAAACCTCCATTACCAAATGCTTAAGCAACCCTCGTGAAGTGGAAGATTACCTAGAAAGGAGTATGAAGGAATCAACTCGTGGTGGAGATAAGTTCATATTAGCCCCTTGTTTTGAGGAGTACGTCACAAAATGTCATAATTTAGTTTTTTCCTTTTTTCCAAATTCTGAAATTGCAGTTAGCTGAGGCGTATAATATGTTCACGTTTATGTAAATACCTGCAGTTCTCATTGGACCCTTTTGGTGATTTGCGTATCCAGTAACACAATCTACCACTTTGATTCTATTCGACAGACTCCACCACGGAGGTTGCTAGTGAAGAACCTACTGAATAGGTACATATTGCTTCCCTTTGTTGATTGCCCTAAACTTAATCACTGAGAATTTATGTTTCTAACTTAGAACTTATTTTCCTAAAGTGTTATGAAGAAGTTAAACTGTCGTTCTGTTGAGGGTCCTAAGTGGAAATATGCAAAGGTAATGCCTTGAGTTAGTGATTTGTTTAATATACTTGGCTTCGGTAATGGCAACGCATGATAACAGTACCTTTGTGGCATGTCAGTGTGCGCAACAAAACAACGGACTTGATTGTGCCCTATACGTGATGAGGTTTATGCTTGACATAGTCAACAATTGCTCGGAAGCACAAGTAGATGAGGTATGCTTTTACTGTATTCAATCTGTACCTTGCTTCCATTATTGTACCGAACATAAAACAAGCGTAACACATGGGGGGGTGCTACATACTGATGACAGTGGTTGATTTTTTTTGTCATCTTTAGTTTTGCAAGGTTGAAAGAGTAGGTCCGTTGTCAAGCAAGGAAATCAATGAAGTTCGCGACATGTGGGCTTTTTTCGTCACGTTTGTTGGCATCTAGGTAGAATCGGTGTAATGGTTATAATGGTTATATTTGGGTAAGTAAGAAGCTCATTTGAGAAATTTTCACCTACTTACGCTCCTATTACCTCGTATTTGCATGAAAATTAATACTTTTAAGAAATTTCAACCTATAAACATGTTAAATATACTAAATATGGTATGTTACAGTAGTTGGATATTAGTTTTTAAAGAAATCAAAGAATTTGGGTAAGTAAGAAGCTAACTTATGCCATTTTCTCCTACTTATGCTCCTATAACGTTGTATTTGCATGAAAATGAATACTTTTACGCTATTTCAACCTATAAACATGTTAAATATACTAAATATGGTATGTTAGAGTAGTTGGATATTAGTTTATAAAGAAATCAAAGAATTTGGGTAAGTAAGATGCTAACTTATGCCATTTTCTCCTACTTATGCTCCTATAACGTTGTATTTGCATGAAAATGAATACTTTTAAGCTATGTCAACCTATAAACATGTTAAATATACTAAATATGGTATGTTAGAATTAGTACATGTTAGTTTACAAAGAAAACAAAGAATTTGGGTAAGTTAGTAGCTCACCCAGCCAGGCAGGTGCACAGCCCAGCCAGGCAGGCAGCCAAGCCAGGCAGGCACCTGCCCAGCCAGGCAGGCAGCCCAGCCAGGCAGGCACCTGCCCAGCCAGGCAGGCAGCCCAGCCAGGCAGGGACCAGCCCAGCCAGGCAGGCAGCCCAGCCAGGCAGGCACCTGCCCAGCCAGGCAGGCAGCCCAGCCAGGCAGGGACCTGCCCAGCCAGGCAGGCAGCCCAGCCAGGCAGGCACTGCCCAGCCAGGCAGGAAGCCCAGCCAGGCAGGGACCTGCCCAGCAGCCTGCACACGCACGTGATGCATGTGATTTTTGTGCATTTCGGCCATTTTCGTGATTTTCGGTGAATTTCTGTGATATTGGTGCATTTCGATGTTTTGATACTCATGACAATTTTGGTTTTTTCTTATTTTTTTTTTCTCTAAAGTTTTGCAAGGTTCAAAGGGAAGGCCCGTTAACAAGGAATGAACTCGATCAATGAAGTTTGCGACATGTGGGCTTTTTCCAACACATTCGATGCCATGTAGAATTGCCGTAATGGTTATATTTTTGGTTTGTTAGCTTGACTTTATTAATTACTTATTATTGTCAACATTATTTTAATTAAGTACGCATTAGTATGTACGTAGTATTTCTAATTGTAATCTTAATATATTTTGGTGTAATTAAATATTGTTGTTCATTAAATATATTAAATGATGTTACCTTTTATATATATAATTATTTCGTGTTATATATATTATTGTTTTATTTTGTAACTAATATTAATATTATTATTAATTAATAATATTAATTTTATTATTAATTATTAATAATAAATTTGTATCGATTAATAATATTATTTTATTATTAATTACAAATACTGAAATTATTGTGAAAGGTCACTAATAAAATTATTATATTAATATTATTAGTAATAAATTATAAAAAATAAAAAATAAAAAAAACTACAATTGGAAGCGGTTTGGCGCCAAAACCGCTTCAAATTGTTGAATTTTTTTTTTTAAAAAATGGGAATTGGAAGCGGTTTGGCGCCAAAACCGCTTCCAATTGTAGATTTTTTTGTTTTTAAAAAATGGGAATTGGAAGCGGTTTGGCGCCAAACCGCTTCTAATTCTCCACTTTTTGAAGCGGTTTGAACCGCTTCCAATTCTAACTGACAATGGCAAGCCCCCCAAACCGAACCGGTTCAAAACCGCTTCCAATTATGGGGTTTGAACCGCTTCTAAATTAACATTTTGTACTAGTGCAATAATGCTTAATCTGGCTTCTTTGGTTACAATTTCATATTTTACCTGTCCCACTTACAGTTTGTATGGCCATTGTTCAATTCTAAAACTTCTAAAAACAATTAAACCAAATTAACAATTAAATTTTCTTCAGTTTGCATTCCTATCTTTCAGCAAAGTTAAGACACTTTAAATGGTTGCAAATTTGTTATAAGCTTGGAAAAAAAACCACTAGAACGGTTAAGCTCTTAATTTCTATGTAAAGACATCACAGGAGAATATGCCCTCGAATAGCATCTAATGGGTTCTTTGTCTCACTCTTGAGAAGATATTATTAGAGAGTTAATGCATGTAACTATATCATATACAACCTCTACTTCATATTATGTGCAACATTTGCTAAAAATGGATGTTACACACTGTGCAACAAATGTTTTCTTTCCTTTTAAGTTGTCATTTCTCTCCATCTCTCTCCTCATCACATGCATTTCTATCTTTCTCTCTCCATTAAACACTCACAAACATATTTTGCCTAGAGTCCATGCAAAGGCCTTTGTTGCACATAATATGAAGCGGAGGTAGTACAAGGATCTCAAAAGTTCCCAAAAAGTAGCATCCGTCTTAGCCACCAAATAATTTCCCTTAAGCTGGCAATCAAACATTAAAACAGAACAGAAAATATGGAAGGAGCATAATTCAATACCCATGAAAAATGAGCCAAAAGTTAGATGATCGAAAGTCATTTGCTCGGAATTTTGGAAATCAAGAGCTAATGATAACACTCTCTCACCACCTATAATGCTTGGACTAAAACAAGTATCCAACTTGGGTATGGATCTGAGAGTTGGGCATGAAAAATTCTAAAATAAAATATATCCGGAGGTGGAAGTCTCCAAAGATATGATAACTGTAATGCCAATTTTGGTTCTTACAATTGATATTCATGCGGTCAAAGTAAATAAGTTTGACTATAATTTATGATTTGCATACAAGAAAAAAATGTTACTCATATCATGTATGATTTCATTAGATTTATTTAATGTGCATCTTTAAAATATTATTTTTTATAATGTCACTAGTGTGCAATTAAAGATATTGATGTCCAAAGATGTGCATTAGAGACCGCATACTATGCAAGTAGAGCAAAATGACAAGTATTAAAATAATTGGCACTAAAATAAAATCTTCTAAGAAAAGGAATAAAGGGTTGAAGGGAGGAAAAAGTTGAAAAAAAGGCTGCATAGGAAAACTCAAGGGTTACCATCTTGGATAGATTAGGGAGCTGGATGTGCTTATCCCATTCAATAAAAGACAGGCTCTCGTCAACATATTTTTACTCCATTGCCTTAAAATTTTAATTAAATCATTATAATACAAAGCCAAAAAAAACCAGTAAGTTCTCCATTCAAAAGGAGCAGGAAGATACAGAGACGAAGGTGACTAAGGGGAGATATGAAGACAAAACAAACCCAAAATAAAGTCACAAAGTCATGATTAATTTCCTTTCTCTACAAAGCACTTAACGTAATGGTGCCTACAGGACCCTACCTCAATTTGTTATAATTACCGAGATCCTCTCATGGCATGTACAATAATGCAAGATTAGAAAAGGAATTTGCATGCAGACAATGAATCCTTATTCTTATAAAACTTTCACTGCAGAGAATTCAATGATCACAAACTACCAGCAGATTAAACAAATCTGACTATTTCAAAATGTGAACGGAGAGAAGAACAGAGTTGTCCAGGAAAAGAATATACCTGAAAGTAGTTAAAAGAGTTCTTCCCTATGTCATTTCCAGGTGTCTGCATACAAACAAAAGATAGTGTCTGCTGAGTAAAAGGAAAATTCAACTTTCTAAGGAAACTAAGAGAGCTAGCAAACCATTTTTAACCTCAGAGTATAATGCGAAAAAGCAAATTTCTCAAGTGTCGCAAGCACCAAAAAAAATAAATATGAAGAACAGCAGAAGTAAATTTGAGATAAATAAGCGTAAATTTGACCTGCGGATCTTCTATTGATATAAGAAATGGGCGTCCCTTAGTTTGGAACCTGGAATGCAAACAGAGAATGACATGTTGTGTAAAGTATGGGAAACCATCATCATGAAAATTTAAGCCATCAATCTGTCAAATGGCCAAAACTACATAGCAAAACATGATTCTTCAAAAAGACGAGAGTTTCAAGCAAAGAAAGAAACATACCCCTTGCGACTCTTTAAATAAAAGGTTCCTGTTCCATTGCAGGACACACCAACATCCCAAGTGTTTAATCTATGAGCATAAAACTCAAAAAATTTAACCTGTTTGCAAAAGAAAAAACTGCTTATAACATATGTAGAAAGGCATGCAAATTAACAGTAATAGCTAAGACTCACACATGCTTCAATGTCCTTTAAAATTTATTAGGGAAAAAAACAAATTAACAAAAAAGAGAGAAAATTCAATCTTAATTCACAATGCTATCCCAAAGTTAAGATATTGTACAAAAAATACCTCTAATCAGTATTCCCCAATAAACAAACCATGCATATTTTCCAATAGATATAAGCTACAATGAGTATAGTATTACCTTTTCACACTTAACCTATTTGCAAAAAATAAATGAATTACTTCCTCCACTTTTTTTAAATGCAAACTTCCTTAGCACGCTTTTTAGGATTTGATTAGAGTGGGTAAACATGCGGCTTTATCAAAATAATTTGATTACTAAGATTAGACAAGGGTTAGCTACTACATGTATAAATTATTCTGATTGATTTGTCCATTTACAATACTACATGTAAAAACCTATATCCAGCACCACCATCCATCTCTCCTCTCCCCTCTCCCCTCTACTCTAAATAAGCCTTTGAAAAGCATAAAGTTCATAATTTCATTTCAATCCTATATGAATCCCTTTACTTCTCCTCCCTTCTTTAATCAACATATCTGACTAAAAACAGAGGTCTATAATTTCAAAAAGCTATGCTTCAAATAGTATTTTTTTTATGGAAAATCAGTGGAACACACCAAAGACAACACATCAAAAGGCTTTCAATCCTCAAATTGAACAACTCCAAAGTTGAAAACTGACAATTTCAACAAGTCCATATTCTCTATCCTACACTACCTACATCTCTAAACAATAAGCCGAAATTTCCCTAAATTACCGTCTACTTGAAGACTCACCAGAACATATAGCTTTGAGCTCGAAATGCACATTTAAAGACTAAAATAAATGCAAATTTTTTGTCAAGTCATCAGCCAACTCCAACCAATTCCTTGATTTTCTTGTCAGAACAATTTGAATCAGTAACTGTTGGTCTTGGGTTGAAACTTCAAAGCAATAATTGAGTATTTAGGTACAATCAAATCTCTCGTCTAACTGAGATCAACCCCCCACTTTCTTCCTCCTATTTAATTGAGTGCAGAGATAATTCTGCTTTCATGGAAAGTAAGGAAAATGGAGACAAATAAAGGTGAAAAAAACTTGAAAAACTGTATTACTATTTTACAGCTGCCCTTAATCATCTCTCCTCTCCTTAAAAACTGTGCAACAGCAAATCCCCCCACCCCCCCCCCCCCCCGGGGCAGGGTTGTGTTTAATAAAAAGTATAAAATGATCGGTTGTCTTATTGAAAAACTGGAGACAAAATGCTACTTAGGCCCTAATCTCTTCACCTTACAAAAATAATACTCCCTCCGTTTCATAATAATTGCAACACTTTCCTTTTACATCCGTTTCATAATAACCGTCATGATTCAATCTTTAATGGTCAAATAGAATGTCAATGCCAGTTAGGAAAATAGGACAACCTCACTACAGAAGAAAATCGCTTTGACAAACTTCAAAATGATTAAAGAAAGGAACTTGCACGAAGCGGCCTCAAAAAATTACCATCAATACCATGTGTCTCAATGTTCAGAGAAAAACACATGGTCCTCATCATTTCAGACTTGTAGCAATTGCTAGTAAATTTTAGTTTATTAAAAAGAAAAGACTGTAAGAAAAATAAACCGTAATAAGGTAAATGATAGATACGGAAATCCAGTGACTCCCATTCCCTGTAAACAATGAAGAGAGAGAAAATTTAAATTTTTTATCATCGTAACATACCAATAATATTCCCAAGTTCTGCTCTGGAGACCTTTGGCAGTCATTCACACTCTGTATACAATTAAAAGAGGTTACAAAGTCAATATTGCAGGTTCAGTAAAAAAGGCGCTAACTTATAATTGGCTAATAAGTACAAAGAAGAAAGATAGTCTTACAGAAATTACTACCTCTGTTTCATATTATTTGAAACTATTTGACATAAAGTGTGAGTAGAAACTGTCTAATCATTACAAATAATATGAAACGGAGGTAGTAGAATAAACAAGCTAAATTTCTTCTTTGGAGTCATGAGCCATAAAAGAGCAATAACACTGAAACTTTCACGGCATTCCCTCATACTGTGCTACAGGTTTCATGACACAAAACAGATTCCCAAGCATAAGATGGCAATCTCTCTATTTACACTTAATAATCATATCACATATATGAGAAATAATTCATTTTAGTGATCCAGTGAGCAGAAATTAAGAACGAATTTGGTGAGCTATTCCTGAAGATGCCTCATTTTGAAATAAATAATGAAAAAGTAAATATTAAAACCAATATAATAAATATCTTGTTGGTAAAACGAATATCAAATGAACAGATATGTAGAGTACATTAGGTTTAAACTATCAATTTTCATTCGCTCCCCTGCTCCTCAAAGGATAAATCTGATGAATTATTCAACAGATCAATAGTATACACTAAGAATGAGGAGGGAACTATGAGCAAACAGAAGGAACAAAGTGCCTTCTCTTTCCGTCTTTCATTCTTGTATTTTTTTTACAATACCGGGGGGGGGGGAGTGGGGACAAGAGAATATAGAATATTTTCTTATTTAAAGATGTTCTTCATTTCTTCAGAGATAATATGAAACTTTAGAAAGAGTGATCAAGAGGAGAATGAGGGAGAAAGCTACTTCAAGTAATCAAATTGGTTCGTTGCTCTGTATACTTACAATGGAATCTCTATGGCCTCACACAAAAACAATACAATAAATCCTCCTATTCACCAACTCTAAAGATTAAAGTTTCACTTACTCGCAACATAGCAATCAGCATGGCAAGCAGTGCATAAGAGCCAACTCCTCCAGAGTAAACCTATAATTGAGCAGAGATCATGAAGTCAAATGGAACTTCAACTCCCAAGCATTGAAAAGAAGTAGACAGCACATTGATGCATAGGTTAAAGTGCAATACTGTACCTCGTTCAACTCTCTCTGCTGCAGGAAAACCTTAAGAATCAAACAGAGAGGCCGCAAGGGAGGCAACCTTGATATTGCATCCTGGGAAATATATTACAAATATATTATTGAGCTATTCATATTAGACAATAAAAATGATAAATGTAGCCAAATCAGTAAAGCAAGAAATTAAATTAAAATCGATGGTAGTAAACGTTGAAAAACCCATCATTTAAGAGTGGATTAGTGTTCAAGATTTTATATCCAATACAAGGTATGCGGCAAACTTCAAGTTATTAATACTTATTATGGTGTGAAATAATAGCCATGCATCAATTAAATCTTGATCCAAAACCCAGTCCCTGAAAGTAAAGAGTTACATGGATGCTACAAGGCGGGGAACCAAATGGAATGAGAAACAGAGAAATATTGGGTTTATCTATCCATTTGTTGCATCCAGGTTGGAAGCTCCCATATTCAACAACTGTCTTTGGTGCCTAAGGATGCCTCCAAACACATCTACTTGCTTCACCCACAAGGATAAAGTAAGGATATGATCCAGATATCTTCCTACATTTTCCATACATCACAAGTCTGGACAGCTGAAGCAATTTATGTAAAAAATAAATCAAATTATAGCCAAACAGAAACCCAATAATGTCACATCAGCCAATTATCATATAGAGAACTCTTTTGGGACACAGCCAGCCATTGAAAGTCTCCAAATGTTAAGATCACCATTCCAGTCTGTATCTTCAAATTGTGCAATTTATCAAACAAGGAATGTACGTCCCAAACTACCCATTTCACAGAATAGTGATACAATCTGAGCAGACAGATCAAATATTTGAATATTTTAATCATAAAAATGAAGGCAGCTACTTACATCCAAAAGGTTTAGAGCTCATCAGATTGAATTAGCTAGTTTTTAAGACATGCTATTCACTTCTCCAAAAATAAATTAGGTAATTCAGAACAAACTACATATTAGTTATCGAGGTTTGAAAACAATTGCCTAATAATTGTGTTTATTTAAACAACTACCATTTATCAAGTCTTGATTCGAGCAAAACTACCAAAAGACAGAAATCGTTAGCAGCTTCTAATGATAAACCTCGCTTAACAAAATTTCCCTCCCCTTTCAAAATCTTCTTCTCTTCACAAGTCCAACAAACTCCATTGAAATTCAAAAACTTTTACTCAATTTCCACCATCTTTCAACATTCATGCAGCAAATTGAAAAACTTGGTAATTTTCATTTTCCAACATAATAAAATTAAAAATCTATTGAGTTTCAAATCGGGGTTTACAATTGTTGAGAATCTTGAGATAGTTATTCAATTGATAGTAATAGTTCTATTCTTTGGATTAATCATTGGGAGAAAATGTTCAATTAACCCATTGCAATTTACAATTACCGCAAAAGTTGTAAACTTTTGTTCAGTACTTCTGGAATTCAATGGAAAGAGGGTAGAAGAAAAAAGAAAAGAGAGAGTAATTACGTAGGAAATTTGAATAGTGAATATAAGTTTTAACTAATAACAAGGACTAATAGGTAGTTGTAAAGGATGATGGTCTTAATATAATAGTTAAAAACTGCAAATATTATGACTTTTTAGAAGAATAGCTACATAATAGAATATTGAACTTTCTATGAGAAATAGGATTCACAAACCTGGATATACTCAGCAGCTTTGGGACCATTGTCAACATCAAAACTACAACAGCAAAAATCCATTAGATTCCAAAGCAAATGAAGATATGATCAAGTAAACATTTATAATCCAAAATTTACTAATCAATTCATTTTCACATCCAGAATATAAGGATCACATGGTACTTCATTGAAGTGGCCGGCACATTTTAGTATTATACTTTATTGCATACACCTTGACCATCTTTTCTTCTCATGTTTTTTTTACTATTTCCCAATCAAGCTTTTCACCAACTCTCTTATACTACATAATCAAATAACTTTTTTTAAGAGCAGTAGACTGATGACTTGATATTTCAGATGATTACAGGGTGATGGCTTGAGTGGTGAAGGTTTAATTTCCAATAAACTGAAATTAATGCATTAGACCTCTCCAACCACCACTCCTAATTTTTCTTCCTATGAAACTACTGGAAGTCATTTGGTAGCCTCAAACGGAATGTTTCGATCATTCCAGCCTACATTTTTATTTTAATAGGCAAAACAGAATAGTACTTTAAGCTACCAAGAAGGTGTTAACTTTATTCAAAAGGAGGGTTACAATAAAAAATAAAACATCATGCCAGTGACTCAATGCATCACTAGTCTCCTAAAAGGAAAAATGAGTAGACGAAAACTCAATCCCACAATCCATATACAGGACCATCGCCAAAAAGTCAAGATATAAATATATAATTGGTCCACAAGTCCACACCTAAACCAGGATAATAAGAGCAGCTCATACACCTTCCTTATGATGATCCACTGATTCCTTTACATAGATGCTATGTTACTCAGACTCACCAAAAAGTGTCAAACTCACAAGACGTTCTTTGGCACTTTGACACTGATACATCTAGTTTTCCAAAAAAATTCTGCTAATCTTCAAAGTATCACACCCATGTCCAACACGAATGCAGCAAGTTTGGCGAAATATCCATGTAAAATAGAATCCACAAGTACAATAATTATCTTCACCAACATAATCAGCAAGATGCAGATTGTTTCCCGTATTTATTAACACCACAAGCAACCTCAAAATTTCTAATGCATCATAATCAACATTACCAAAAAAAATCCCTGAACAGCTACCATGCCCACCACGCATAGGTGATTGGATGTAAGATTTCTTTTGAACCATATTCAGAAAAGCAATATCATTTATGACTCCATAACAAACATAAAATACAGACAACCTCAAGAGCCTTTGTGATAATATCCAAAGTCAAAAGGCTAGTCATTTTGTAAACTTTGCATCCAAGCAGAGGAAACTGAGGAATCAAATTAAGAAAGAAAGCAAAAGGGAGGCTTTCAAACAGAACAATCCAGCCCTCTGCAGAAATTACCTTGTCAAAAAAAAAAAAAAAAAAAAAAAACGAAAAAAAAAATAAACAAAAAAACAAGGCGCATGATATTGAGTGGAAACCAGAACAAAATAACCGAAGAATATTCTCTTAATTCGTAGGTGCATGATAGTCCCAAAACCCAATTAAAGCCAAGGCAAGTACTACAGAACACATCATCTGATTCCCACCATAAAGACAACAGAATATCCATATATTCTACAGGGCAAAACCACAACCAAATAACCACAAACCAGGAATCTCAAAAAAACAGCAGTCAGCCAGAAGCTCTAGAATTACATATTAATTCCCTCTATAGTACCCTACACAAACATGGAAACAATACTGCACAAGCCTTAGATAGCTTCCAGGAAAAAGAAAGTCATACAATTAACAAGAGATGAACATTTCTTTCCCTTTTTCATTAACTTAACTCCTGAAGCAAAACCAGCCAAGGCATGACGTGCTATGCTATTTGGAATCTTCAAAGGTGCCAAAATTGTTAAAAATATTTGGCAGATCAGAGTTCTTTAGAATGTTTTTCGATTATAATCCAAGGATCATATCCAAGCATACACAGGTAGCAAATAAAGGCCATTCAGTTACAGAAGAAGATGAGATAATTTTATCAGTAAAGAAAATATTCTTTTCCGAAATTCCCATCAACGTGTCATTACATAACAAGTGACTGCCATTAAAAGCTGTTAAGATAAAAGCAGCCACAAAATCTTTTAATTAACTCATTACGAGAATAGAAAATATTGAAATTCCATCATTAATAAAACTTTGTCATATTATAGTCACTAAATTTCAGAAGCCTTTATATTGCATTACAAACAAGTAAAGAAACCAGGCAAAGTATTGTGTAACAGATGATCAGGGGTGGTAGACAAATGAATTTAGAAAAAGATATTCAAGTCTTAGAATTAAAAGGTCCAGGCGCCAACAATACAGAAACGGTGTGATTCACATATACAATAATGCCAAAGTCAAACTCTTGGTAGCGGTGATTTGTATAATAAGAATCTCAGTGTTGGGAATATTGAGCAAGTATCAACTATATAAGGCAAGCCAGAGCCAAACTCATCATTAAAAACACTATGTTCTGCCAAACAGCACCCCCGCCCACTGTCACAAGCACATCTAGTAATTGGTTCATACTCCTTTTCACATTAAACAACATAGACACACACACACACACAAACACTCTGACATACCAGATCCAAAACTCCCAACAGTAGAATAGCATAGCACTCTGACATACCAGATCCAAAACTCCCAACAGTAGAATACAACCAAGCATTACACAAACCAATTCACACACTCCCAACATAGAGGACAACTAAGCAATAGGACAGCACAAAGAGCAGAAAATACTGCTACAAAACGAGCTTTCACATTCTAGTCTGCCTAGAACCAATTGCTGCTCACGAAAAAGCAACACATGAGCAAGCAATAGAAGACTACTCAAGAGAAGATAAGTAATCAACTGAAAGGGAAAAGAAAAAAAAAAAACAGAAATTGGGAAATTGGGAAGAAACCAGTAAAAACAAAGGTACTCAGGAAAAGATTTACCCACAAAACTTACAGTATTACAGCCAAAGCAGTATCATACTTTCCATTCATTTAATTGAGAGATAAGTCTAAACACAAGATTAGGTTCAAGACACAGAATGAGGGCAACAAAAAGTAACTTAAATCTTGTAAATAAACTAATAAAGACAAGAGAAGTGTTACAAAGAGATTTTGACCCCACCTAATGTCAAATGCAACATCAGTCACCTTCTCCAGAAATTTAATAATCGGCACCCTAGCTTTACCAATCACCTGAAAATCCATTCACAGCATGTTAAATACTGTGTGTCCAGTATACATAAAAATGAAATTACAAATTGATTAAGCAAATTCCAATTATAAGAGGTACTCATGATCATAAATTAAAATGGAAAATAAAATTATTAACAAAATTTCAGAAAGCACAATTCCACAAAACGATTTCCTTTTTGAATCGGAGAATGAAATAATACTTCCCCGTCCTTTGATTATGGCAACATTTTGACTTTATACAAAAGTAAATGTTAGTATATATTAATTTGTTGGATTACACTAAAGAAGTTGACCCAAGGAGAGAAGAAGAGTCCCTGTGAACTACAGACTACAGAAAATTATCCAGCACCTTGATAGAGAGAATCACTGAGTAAAGTGAGGTGATGAGTGGACCTGTCATACAGTAGGATTTGATATGGTATCGCCATGTTTGGGCCAAATATTAGCCAGTAACTTCAAGAAAGGATCAAATGTTAGGACTCAAAGCATTTATATCCAGGTTTGACCAGCCAGAGGACAGTTTTAAGATGCCCATTCCATTCCTTTCTTTGAGTAGGACAGATGTAACCATGGCATTGTAATATGCAAAATGTGTCTCATAAAATCATGTCGTAATAAAGTTTCATAGCCAGATCCAATCATACAAATGATAAATGAGTCCAATGAAAGTCAGCTCCATGGATACAAATAGCTCATGATGACTTGTGTAGGAACATTCACATGATCTCATTTCTTTGCCTTTCATGCAACGTTTTCATGTAAAGTATAAGAGGAATCAGGATGTATCAAGTAAATAGTGCAGAGGACAAACCCACTTTTCTCAAATCAATTTCATTTTGGGTTGGTTTATGGCAGGTCTACTTAGTGGTGAGTAATATAGTTTGACGGCAAGAAACAACAAGGCATTGGTCAGAAGTTCAGCACCAGTGACCAGTGTGTTAGGGATGAGAGGGCAGATTAACAGGAAATTCAAAGACTAGGGTCATCTATGTTAAAAAAAAGAACCATGTATTTCATGCACATATTAAAACACTAAGCCAGAATCATTCTTGGATATGTTTCCTGATAGTAGTTACATCCATAAGTTCAGTATAAAAAATATATATAAAAGCATGTGAACCTTTTTCATGTTTCATAAAAGGATAACAAATAGGAGAAACTTGTAATCATCCATTGGCCACCAAAACCTATGGGAAACTTATACCTATTACTCTTCCACTCTCTCCAGCTACTCGGCTTCCAAGTATTAATCCTCGATTAGAACTCCGAAGATAATAACTTGAAAAAATTAAGAGTAGACTAACTTAAAAGGCAAATGTGCCATGTAAGACTTCAGTGACTACAAATCCATTCTCCAGATATAATGATACCAACTCAATATCCTTGCTCCTTTACAAGTTAGCTGATTGAGTGTTTCCAAATATTAATAATGATCTCAGATAACGGTAAAACAATACCACAACTACTCATACTAACTACATTTGTGCTAAATTCTTGAAATGGCATATACCTGCATCTTTTTCGCAATACCCTTTTGTGACAATGCCCTAGACAGAGCTTGTAAGCCAATTTGTGGAGTTTTGATATTTGATTCGAGAATCACAACCTGCAGTTAACAACAAAACTTATGTTAGACGTACACAACAAAATTTTAACGCATCAAAGTCATACAGCAAAAAATTTTAAGAAAAAAAAAATGGTTCCTATTATACGGGAACAATTTTTTTTCAATTTTTTTTTATCCAGCTATAAGAATGAATTTATATATTCCTGGCCCCTTGTGGGGTTATAGCTAATGTAAGGCCAAAAAAATTTCATAATCCCATATTTATCTTTTAAAAACACACACACACACACACACACCCATGAGCCACCCACCCCCACCCCCGAATAGGTAGAAAATAGGTAGTGGATGGATCTGAAGTAAACAGTAAACAGCAACATGGAGTACATCACAGCTCTAGTGTTAGTCTGTTATATAAATTGTTTTGAATGATCTACAAAACTAGGCTTTACTCAAGCATACAGCCGTACATCTTATCTCATAGGCAAACATACTAAGAGTAAGAGCTCTTTAATTACATATTATCACATGACTACTCATTAATTGCCCAATAAACACATATTAGTAAGAATGCTTCACTAGATTAACTAAATAATAGAGTGTTGAATTAAACAGAAAAATAAACTAACCATGGAATTAAAACTCGGTCGTTCCGTTATATAACTGCCGTTATGTAACGGATTTTGGATTTGCCGTTCCGCAAAACCCCGTCATATAACGCCGCGACAAAAAACACATCTTTCACCCCGAGTCATCCGTTTTGTAACGGTGACTCACCGTGTTAGAACGTTTTTTAACCCGTTACATCGGTTTAATATATTAGAAATTGATTATATAGTCTATAAAACATGATATTTAGTAGTTTTTATTCACCAAATATGTTACCTGCTTTTATTTTGATAAATATGGTTATTTTATGTTTAAAGAATACATTTTTAACTTAAAGACTATAAACACCACTTAATCCATTAATGTGAATTTATTCGAAAAATTCACACCGCGCTTGCCGCGATCCGTTATATTCGTCAGTTACAAGCCGTTCTCGCGACAACGCGACCGCATCCACAATTTTTTTTCTATGAAACTAACAAACTGAATGGCTGAAGGAACTAAGCCTGAAAAAAGGAGGCAACATACATACATCAATGTCACTTGATGGCAGATAGAGCCCTGTTCTATATGACCCGAAAACCTCTACCTGAAAACCAATAGAATAATGAACCACACTTAGAAGATCTGTAGGTGCAACAATAAATGAATAAAAAATAAAAAAGGCAAAGCCATGTATGAGAATCAAAAATACCCTGCAATAGGAAGGTGCAACAATAAATGAATAAAAAATAAAAAAGGCAAAGCCATGTATGAGAATAAAAAATACCCTGCAATAGGGCCATATATATTTGATAACATCAGACACACGTTCAATGGCTGCATTGCGTGCTGCAGCTTCTTCAGGAGTTGGGGAGAGAAAATCACAGAAGTCCAGGATCTCTGCGAGGCCAAGTCAAAGGTCATATTATAAGCAAATTCTCTATTCCACTAGTTATACAATCATAAAAGTATTTCAAATTTAAAGATGCAACACAGAACATAGCACTCATACATTCAGAAAGTTAAATCTCTTTGTAAAAAAGAACCTGGTGTATAGTGGGGGAGAAAAGTTTATTGTTTTAGGAGTTTATTAATATTGAAAGAAGATGCAACAAACCTTGGTCCTTCAATAACAGAGTGGAGGCAAAACAAAACAAACATATTATATACATTTCTCATTATATAAACTGCTAAAAGGATCCTAAACTACCATTCCTGTTGGTAAAGATGTGGCCCAAGTATTCTTATTTACAAGAAGTGCATGCCTTAGTTTCTTCTTAGCTCTAGTCCTTCAACAAGTCAACTCAACTTGGCAAATCTAGGACTAGGTCCAGGAAAGCAGCAGACAATCAACCGGCAACAGCAATTGCAGCAAACAAGTCCAAAATTTTAATCCCATTAAATAAAATACACAAAATTCACTAGTGACCTAGAAGAAGACTCAATGTCATTACACCAATTTCAGCAAAATTTTCTTGACCCTCATATTGGCTATAGGTTCAATAGCAAGTTCACTGACCCTTCTCGCCTATTTAGCAAGGAAAATAGAGAATGAACAAAGGGTTGCAGCGTAGCTTTGCCTTCATCAGCCATCAGCACTCATCAACCACTTATAAATTCACCACCATAGTAATTTACCTACATAGCCTTATTGTGGCAAAACATGGCCTACAAAGGCCAGGAAAAAGCTTGCAAGAGGCCCCTAAATCTTTCTCATTGTAGGTAGAGATCTCTTTCAAGATGGCAATTCATTTCTTACATGGAACAAGTTTGATTTCCAAAATTGGTACATTTCCTTTTCAGAAATCATCACCCCAAAGATTTCTAATACAAGTACACAATTAATCCAGCCTGTCTTCTTAACTTTTTTTTTTTTTTGGAAAGCAAAACAGCAGAGGGATATTTAGAAAAATGTATAGACAAGCCATAACTGAGCATCTTACTTGGGAATTTGGGAACTATAATATTCTAAAACCTTGAGCTCATATTCTGCCCACAATAGTCAACAACACACAGATGGTTTGAGGTAAAATAAAAGGAAAAATCATTAAAGTAGGCAAGGATTACTGCAGATTCAACATTACTCAGAGAAGATCATAAACACACATGCAGCCACATATTCTATAACCTTCACTAATCTGTTGACTACTGAGTACTGCCTCCCAACAATAATACTCTCTCCATTTCTGTTTCATTAAACATTTTCACTCTTCGAAAATGTTACATTAGTTGCAATCATGTCAAATTTAGTAATTTTGCTTTGATGAAATACCAGTTGAACAAGTAACTAAACACTTAGGGGATGTTTGGTTAGCTATAAGATATGGGTTTGTATGGGATTGGAATCACCAAAACCCATACTCCTTGTTTGGTTCATAATTATTACAGCTTTCATACCTGTGGAGCCCACCATCAAAATCCCCCCGACGTATCAGTTCTCATACTGCTGAACGAGTGAGGAGGTGGGTTTGGAGGAAACCCATCCTTAGAATTGGCAAAATTACATGAAATTAAATTTTTATTAGAATCCAACTGCTAATTACACGTTTCCAGCATCTAGCTCTCAACAATTTCACATTGTCACTAGCCATCCAGATCCCTTACACTTTAATTCTAAAAACTTGCCAACATAACCTTCACCACTGCCAAATTAGAATCCCATGAGGGAGGTGGATTTGGAGGAAACCCATCCTTAGAAATTTAGAATTGGGCAATTCTATGAAAAAAAAAATTCAGAAAAAAAAAAATACTACCAATTAATCTTTTTCTCAGCATCTAGCCCTCAACAATCTCACGCCATCACTAGCCATCTACATCACATACACTTCAACTTCATGAAAACTAAGCAACATAACCTCCACCACTATAAAAATCAGAACCACACAAGGGAGGTGGATTAGGAGAAAACCCATCAAATTCTAGGAAAAACTTTTTTTTACAAAAAAATAAAGAACAATTGCTAATTACAATTTTTCTCAGCATTCAGCCCCCAACAATTTCACAACATCCCTAGCCATCTACATCTCATACACTTTAACTCCATGAAAACTAGCCAAAATAACCTCCACCATCCCCAAAGCAAATGACCCTTGTCAACACATCTAATTTCTAAATCTTTGTGTGGCCATTTATTATCACCAAAATTTAGATCTAGAAATTAGATGGTAAAAAACAGCCATTAAAAGTAAACTTTTTTCACCTTATTCTACTATCAAGGCATCTAGTCAGAGGAGAGGGCAAGACATAGCACATAGGCAACAAGATAAAGGATGAAGAGGATGGAGAGTTAGGCATTAATGGAGTAGCAGATGGTCTGGATGGTTTACAAAATACGGGGAGGGGAAGGAGGGAGGATAAAGTTGGAATCAGTAGGCATACATGAATCTGGAGAGGATAAAGGGTAGCTAAAATGAGAATTCAATTCTTAAGGTTTTGAGTTTTATATAAACAAGATCAAATAAATGGAATCAGGAATGGATTTCTAGGTATCAATCATATTAAACCTAAGAATTTGAAACCAAACCCCATATTCGATATCATATGTCGAACCAAATGCCCCCTCATATACCTAACCCCTCATGCTTTTATTCCCTATCATCAACAGGGGAACTAAGCAGGTAAATGAATTGCGGATTACCATATGAGATAGGGGTTTGGAATGGTTGAAACCCATAGCAATAATTTTGTTTTTGGCGGATGAAAATTATATGCATTAATGAACTACACCAAAAACATAATCATAGACATCAAGCTCCAACCCCATACCACCTAGTTTCATTCTTAATTCCAAAACTATACCACTTTGCCAGCAAATCACCCTCTTAATTTAGCAAATCCCATACCTTTCTCACTTCCTCTCTCCTCTTTCTATGATTGTGTGCCATTTGGTTTGGTTGCAATTAAATAGAACCTAAGGAAGTAATTCCCAATAGTACACCAGGCTCAACATCACATTGACAAGGCATAACATCTTCAGAATTCTTTATAGCACGCAAAAGAAAACTAAAAGATAATAAAAAGACAAACTTCTTGCAAATTCACTACAGTTATGGTGCCTTACTTCATAAACAACATAGCCTTATATGTTACTATAATAATGCCTTCCTGTGAATTCATAGAGCCCAGCAACAACCAGCTTCTCAGACATCTCATATGCTTGAACATTCACACCACTTAAATGACCAAATATAGAGTTCAACTTAGAGCTGATAAGTCTACCATACAGCTTTAAATTCATGACAAGTCTTCTACGGACAATAAAAGTTCATACAGAATAGTAATCTTATCCAGGGTTTTGGGACGATTGTCCCGATTTTGTGGTTTTCCTCTTTTTTCCGATCCTCAAAGAACTCATGACTACTTTTTTTTTTCAACACAAGGCAACTCCAGCTAATTCCAACCACAACCTACACAAACTACAATGTACCTGTTTTAACAAATATAACCAACAATAACAACCAAATATCCAGCAACAATCCCAGCAATAATTTCCAACAATATCAAATGATAATCAATAATAACCAACAATAATAAAAAACAATGAACAAAATTCCACAATAACAGTAAAAGATAACCGAAATCCTTGCTTCAAAAAAATCAAAAGATATGAAAAATAACAAGGGAATTCCGAGTACCTTAACCTTTTGTGCGAAAATCTATCGAAAATCTCTCGAGACGAACCGGATTATTTGTTAATTTTTTTTTTTGTAAATGGCGCCGTTGCGGGGGAACGGTGTTATTGGCTATTTGATTGCTTGAGTCTAGTTCACTAAAAAAAAAAAAAGAGAGAGAGTTTTCGTTTTGGCTACACTTGTAGCCTTGCTACTAATTGCACTTGTTGAGTGTGTATGCACAGGACTCAAAACTGAGATTTGATGCCTTACAATCCCTGAACAAACTTTTAGAAGAAGAAGGAGATCCCGTTCGCAGTCCTCCACTTCCCCATGAAGAGAGTTTAACCTCGAGAGACAAAGAAGAAATCCAATGGGTGACAATCCGCTACCACCTCCAAGACCTTTAAAGGAGTTGGGAACTTCGGGAGCTTATAGAGCTCCAAGTGGGATTGCTACCCCAAATACCCCGGCCAATGACTTTGAGATCCGGCCCGCAATGATAAATCTAATTAAGAGAAAGCAATTTAGTGGAGCAAAGCATGAGAGCCCTCTAGCGCACTTGAACGAATTTGAGAAGTATTGCAACACCATCAAGGTGAATGGGGTTACTCAACAATTTGTGAGACTAAAGTTTTTCCCCTTCTCACTTCTCAGAAGAAAGTGAGACCTAATTCCCTACGAACTTGGGATAAAGTCACCAGGGAGATTCTACTCTCAAAAGAAGACGGTCGTTGCAAGAGCTCTAATCCAAGGTTTCCGACAAAGATCTAGTGAGACCATATATGAAGCATCAGAGAGGTACAAGGAGTATCAAAGGGAATGTCCTCATCATGGAATTCCTACATACCAAGTGCTTCAAATTTTCTATGGAGGCTTGAGCCGCCAAGGTAAAACTAGTTTGGATGCTGGAGCCAATGGCCCAATAATGAACAAGACGGAAGAGTAAGTGGTGGAAATCATTGAAGATGTTGTGAGACACCACATGGATTGGCAAGATGGAGAGATAGAGTCTTCAAGCAAGAGTGGAGGTGCGGTTTACTCCGTAGACCACCTTAATGCCATAAACAACTTGACATCTCAAATCACCAACCTTGGAAAGGAGATGTCATCAATCAAAGCGAAGCTTGAGTCCTCCTCTTCACGCCAAGAGCATTTTTTCCTAATTTAAGGGGAGAGGTATGAGTTCAAACCCTCCTACTTCTAATAGCATACATAGTGGATGTCTCTTTTGTGATAATTGTGGGTCTTATGATCATGATATCTCTTCTTGCAATTATGATTCTCAATCCCAACCCCAAAATGAAGATGGTAATGAGCTTGAAAATGAACATGTCAATGCTTAGTCTTATGATAATAGACCTAGGAATGACAATCATAGATATTTACCACCTAATCAAAGTGGGCAAGCGAAAGTGTCCAATCGTCAAATTAAGTTGATTCTTGAGAAGACGGTTGCAAGGAATTGAAAATATTGGACGGAAAAACTTGATGATGCTCTTTGGGCATATAGAACGGCATTCAAGACCCGTATAGGCACAACCCCATACCGACTTGTGTATGGCAAATCTTGTCATCTTCCGGTGGAGCTTGAGCACCGAGCACAATGGGCCATAAAGAAAATAAATTTCGATTTGGCAAGTGCAGGAGAGCAAAGATGGTTGGATTTACATGAGCTAGAAGAGCTTCGATTGGATATACAAGGCCTGGTCCATAGAGGTACGTGTATATATTGTTCGATGATTTTTTATGATGATTTTGATTTTTGAGGAGATTAAGAAAATTTGTCAGTGTTAGATTAGTTTAGAGTGAAGCAAAAATAAAAGCCATAAAAAAAAAGGGAATGAGGGTTTCATTTTATTTTCTGATTTTCCTTCGTATTTGCTTTCCTTTTCACCCTCATTTGTGCTAACCCTTTGTATATATAGTTTGTCTTTTTGTTTCTTCTTCTTTCTTTCTTTGGATACTCACCTCTTTTGGGATGCGTGCTATTGCTTGGATATGCTTGCCAAGCGTCTTTGGTGAGATCTTTTCCTCTTTCTTTTTATTTCTTTTGGTGTGCTTTAGGATAGTTGGAGTATAGTGGAAGTTGAATGGTTCGAGAATGTTTGCTATTAACACCTCGTGGGTTTGGGGGTCGTTGATGTTATATCTAACGACCACTTGTTTGTCGATTGGCAAATATTTGATTATGCTTGCTTCCTCTTCCATTTCCCCTTCCTCTGTTATTCTACTTCCTTTCCTTGTTCTAATGGGGTTGCTCGTTGATGAACGGAAACTTGTTGCTAAAGACTTTCATACCTAAGCTAATTCGAAATCGGTAGTCGAAAGGGAGGCGATTAACAACTACAACTAAGGATATAAATCAAGCGTAGTTTTGACTCGCTATGTGTAGTTTCTTATTGCTACAATTTATAAGTAGCCTTTAACCAAAAAAAAAAAAAAAAAAAAAAAAAAAAAAAAAAAAAAAAAGGACGAAAAGAGAAAAATCCAAAAAGAAAGAAGAAAATCAAGCATTCCTTTCTAGTTGATGATCATTGGGGACAATGCTCCATTCTAGTTTGAGGGGGATGGACTTGATCGTACCCCTTGTATATATTCTTTTGTTATGTTCGCAAATAAGCTTAGGGGAGACAACTTTTTGAGTACATTGCTTGGTACTTTGTGTTTTGACCTATATTTCGTCATATACACATCACTACTCTATTTCATTTCACAAATACCCCACAAATTTCAAAATTTTTCCTCCACTTCACATTCTAAACCTTCCATAAAACCTTTAAAGACCTTTTGACCTTAGAGAGTCTAGTCTTCATCGGTGTAGGGAGATAGTTTTCAAGCTTATAGAGAGGTTATGCATAGCTAAGATGTCGAGATACCCTTCTCATTTATGGCTTAACTTCTATATTTTTCCGGTTCCTTCGAGGAATCATGAGAAGCTTACCTAAGGTTTGACTTGAAGCTAGTGGAGAGATTGTGGCTAGATTGTTTGGGGTGAAAGGTGAATGGTATACTTTTTAGTTCTCTACGCTTAGCTTAATTTGTGTTTCTTACCTCAAACATCTTGGAGTATGCTTACCATTATCTATTTAGAAAGCTTTGCATTCATTGTGTATTCTCATTGCTTATGCCTTGCCTTGTGATTATTATGCTTGCATGTAGAGTTAAGGGTTAAACTCTTAGGAAACCGCCACGAGAGCATACACATCCCTATGGGCGATTTTGAGGTTTAAAAGGCTTGTTCTTTACGCTAAAAACAACCGTGATTTTTACGAAAGTGAGTTAGTGTATACTTTTTTCCCTTCTTTTCTATTTTCTTATGTTTGAATAATTGTCTTATTCTTCTTTGTCTTTAGCTTAGCTTTGCTCGAGGACAAGCAAAGATTTAGCTTCGGGGAATTTGATGAGTGAAATGTATGTCACTCGTAAGGTAGTCTTTTCTAGTAGTTTTAGTAATAATTTGGTTCATTGTAGTGTGCTTTTGCTATGTTTTGCCTAATTTGAGTAGTCCACCTATGTGTTGCGTAATGTGTTTTTATATGGTTTAGGTAGTCTTTACTCCCTTCCCCCTTCGTTGTATTATGCTTTACCTTCCTGTTTTGTAATTGCAGATTATTGTCGTTGCTTCGGATTAGGAAGGAACTAGAGCAAGGATCGAAGACATTGCACCAGGGTATTAGCTCGGGCCACCACCTAGGGCGCGGGCGCGCCACTTGAGCTGGCCCAATCCCGTGATACCCATCTTTGGAGCAGGCGCGGCCGCGCCTCTCTGCTGCGACCCGTACCCGAAATCAGATTAAAACAACAAAGAGGAGAGAGAATAAAAATAAAAAAAAAAAAACATTTTTCACATTTCAAAATTCAGCACACTAGATTCTAGAAAGAAAAGCTTGTAATAGCACCCTTGTTTGGTTTTAAACAATTTCCTTTAAATTTTTGCTTAGATTTCATCAAATTTGACACTTTGCATTAGCATTCAAGAATATTTTCAAGATTGGCAACATTTGTAATTAAGATTTTGAAGCTTCATTTTAGTAACTTTTCTCATTCCCCTTTACTTAGTTTCTTATTTATTATTTTATAGCTTGTTATTTGAATCCCTTTTAGTTCTTTGATGATTGTTATTGAATGTTAGTTCTATTTTTAGCAAGGTACTATTCCAAGTTTGTTGAGCTAGTTGAAACCCTAACTTTAGTTATTATGCTATTTGAAATGAGAAGTTAGTAGTCATCTAGCTAGGGGTTGGGTGAAGCCCGTGATATGTAGATTTAGGAGTAGTTTTGACGTTGGGTTGTGATTAAATTGATTGTGTGAGTTTGCTTGTTAGTTCTCCATGATAGGAGTAGCTAACCTTGACTCTAGAACTTGATGGCATGTTATACTTAGTTTGACATGGAAATGTGGATTGGGTATTTCATTACTTATTGCAATTTGACTATGAATCTCTTGTTGCTAAACTAATGAGGAATCCAAGTTTAGTAGTGTGAGTTGTTTTCCTATTGCATGAGGTTAATCTTTCATATGGTCCTTGCTACCCCTTTGTCTCTATTTTACCTATTTGCCTAATTGCCATGGTTGAGTGAATCTCATTCACCTAGTGCTTTTAATCGCTTGATTTATATCCTTAGTTGTAGTTTACTTGTTAATAGTCTCCCTTTCGACTACCGATTTCGAATTAGCTTAGGTATTAAAGTCTTTAGCAATTAATACTCCGTTCTTTGTGGACCGAACCCTTACTTGTCATTATGCTTGGTTTGTGAGGAGTTTGTTAATAATGTGTTTGATGGAGTGTAGAATGTGCGACCGTTTTAACGCTTGTTAGTTAGCAACCCACTTAATGAAATATTTGCACACCTCGAAACTCGAGTAAACATTTCAATCATCAAAATTACAATTGATGCCCAAAACGCATGAAATTAGTCTTTTAGTCCTTAAAAGCCCATACCCAACAATGATGATGCCTTCTTGTGAATATTCATAGAGCCCAACAACAACCAGCTTCTCATGCTTGAACATTCACACCACATGAATGACCAAATATAGAGTTCAACTGAGAGCTGATAAGTCTACCATAAAGCGTTAATTTCATGAAAAGTCTTCTACAGACAGTAAAAGCTCATATACAGAATATTAACCTTATCACAATACAGACCACATCTACGCCTGCATCCCATGTTATTCAAGGAAGAGAAGAAGAGCAATTCGTTTATGCTGCTTCTTCAAATTGATGTAAAATAATAGTATTTAAAACACTACTAATAAGGCACCGACAAGAAAGTCACGCCTCACAATAAATGGTTTATTTGTTGCTTTTACTAAAATTGCATGCAACAAATCAGCAAGCAATGTCTGAACTTTACTCCTCATCTAAAATTTAGCACGGATTGCTATAGCCTATTCTCATATCCCATTTGCTTATACAAAACAAGGTCAAGTATGCTTCCATTCAAATATGGCAAATATGATTAAAACAAGCCCAAAAGACAGGCTACTGGTCTTCTATTCACCAGGTAAGAATGAGGAGAATAAGCAAAACAGAATGCCTCACTCATAGTTTCATCCTCAGTAGCATGAACTCACAAACTATAAAAAAAATCACTTTCTCCCAAAAACTCCCGTTCCCATGAAACTTCTAGCAAAATTTATAGCAAGTTAGCAACCCCACATAATGATAAATTTGCACGCCTCGAAACTCGAGTAAATATTTCAATCCTCAAAATTACAATTGATGCCCAACACACAGAAAATTATTCCCTAACAGTCCATACCCAATAATGTCCATATCAATATACAATCTTCTACTTCATAACAATCCAAAAAAGGGCTATACTCCTAAATTATAATCACCCATAACACCAAAACAAATAACATACATATATTTGCTACACATAAAATAAAACTACAATCTTTGATACAAATTGCACAAATTAAACTAATCATATAATTGTCTAAAATTACCTTTATGAAGCTGAAGCATAGGACTCTTGAACCGGCAATCGGCCCGAAACCAACCACTCTCGAGCGTCCACTCCGGTGTCCGTTCAGCATCATTTTCTCTCTCCTCCGCAGCAACCATCTTAGGCGGAGGAGTTGGATCAATTACTTCATCCGAAGCATCATCGACGTCAAGGGAGAAGTAATCGGTTGCGGCGGTGTCAGTGGAGGCGGGCTCCAATGACGTAAGAGAGATTTCATTGCGGAACACTACGTAGTCGCCGGCGTCTTCGCCGCCGGCAATGGTGGTTTCAACGGCGGGGGAGGGAGGAAGGAAAGGGCTTAGGGTTTCATAGGAGTATTCGCCAACCGCCATTGCAATTGATTTGGATCTTCTTTGCTCCTTCAGTTTCATACAGTACTGAATACAGTGAAAAAGAGTTCCGTTAAGTTGGGAAAAAACTAGGGTTTTTCTTTTGCTTTGGTTTTTTTTAGGGAGAGTAATAATTTGTGAAAACTTTATATTAATAGTTAACTGCAACTAAACCTGGACATCGTGTCGTGTCGGGCCGTCGCGGGCCGTGCCTGGCGGGCCACGGTCATCGACGTGGCGGCGTGCCCAGGTATTCGTGTCGTGTCGTGTCGGCGATTTTCAAAGGCCAGCCCACAGCTTGGCACGGCTTTCGTGCCTGGCGGGCTCGTGCCGTGCCAGCCTGCGTGCTGGCCTGGCGGGCTGGTATGTCGAGCTGGCCTGTTTTCAATTTTTTTTATTTTTTTAATAAGTTATAAAATTATAACTTATATTAATACCTCCGGTTTTTTTATGTGCAACTTTGAGCCATATTGCGGTTCACGAAGCAAAAGATTGAAGGGTAAAGTTTAAGAAAGTATAATGGTGATTAATATATTATAGGAATATGTAATTAAGGTGGAGAGAGAATATTTGGATAATTAATCAAACCACCCACTTCCACCACCAAAACCAGCCACCGCCGCCGCCGCCCTTCACCACCACTACCACCCCCACAAAACCACCACCATCCTCACGTCTTTCCCTCCTTTTTCCGGCAGCCCCCTCCCTAACCAAAAAACCCAGAAATCTAATATTCCCCTCCACCACCAGCCCCGACCACCTCCAACCCAGACCCACCCCCAGACCACCTAAAAATCCGGCAGCTCCACCCACACAGTCACCCCACCGTAACCAACTCACCATACTAACCCTAACCGAAAAAATCGAACAAAATCCCAAAAAAAAACCCAGAAATTTTGAAAGTAAAAAAATTGTAGATCTACGTAGAAAATTAACAATGAAACGGAAAATTAACAATAGAAATACAATAATCAACAATAAAAATTAACAATAAAACGGAAAATTTACAATACAAAAACATACAATAAGCTTACAAAACGGAAAATTAACAATAAAAATTGTAGATCTACAATAATCAACAATAAAAAATGAAACAAAAACGAAAAACGAAACAAATCGGAAGTGTAGATCCCATTTTGCAGCGGCGAATTTCGTTGTCGAATTTCGTTGCCTGCTTGAACTGAGATCATTGTAATGGCGAGGATGAAGATGGTGAAGGTGAAGGTCCACCTTGAAGGTCCTCCCATGGCAGAAGAATGTTCTAGAAATTGGAGTTTGTGGGGTTTGTTTTTCTGGTGAGAGGGTGGTGGAAGAAGTGGCTTATAATGGGAAGTAGTGTTAGTTGCTGAATTGTGATGAATTGAGTGAATGTGAGAAATTGGGGTGTTTGGGAGTGAATTGGTGGGTATATCCTGACATTTTTGGAGAAGAGAGAAAGAAGAAGAAGATGGAGGAGAGAAAAAGAAGAAAGAAGAAGATGAAGAGGGTGAATGGGTGGTGGGTAGATGAGTAACTGGGTGGGTAAAATTAGGTTAATGATTTTAGATTAGATAAAAAAATTATTGTGATTAAAATAAGATAAGGGTAACATTAAGAAAATCTGAATTTTTAAGTAAGGGTAAATTTGTAATTTTCAGGTTTTTGTTTACTAAAAATAGAAAGAAAATAGAAAGTTGCACATAATAGTGAACGGACTAAAATGGCAAAAGTTGCACATAAAAAAAAACAGAGGTAGTATATCAATGTTTATAACTTATATTTTATAAAATTATAATTATAACTTATAAGTTATAAATTTATAACTTATAAGTTATAAAATTATAATTATAACTTATAAGTTATAAGTTACAAAATTATAAGTTATAAAATTTATTAAGTTGAATATTTATGTTTTATTATTTTTTATATTCAATATTTATATCTATATATTTAGTTTATACTATTACTTGTAAATTTAATGTTTATGATTTATTAAATATATTTTTGTATTATTAATTGGTTTAATTTTGTTTTTGTTATATTAATTTACAAATTATAACAAAACGGGAAAAAAAAGGCAAATTGGACTTTGGATGTGAATAATACATACTTCATATTATTATACTTGAGTTGAGAAAACTGTACAATGATAACAATGATAAAAATCGTACAATGATGGTATTAAACAAAAATTGGATAATGATAATATTGATAAATGATAATGATTAAAATCGTACAATATACAAAAATTGTCTATTCTTCTTCTTGTTGTTGCTCGTCGTCGTCGTCTTCGTCTTCGGCTTCGGCTTCATCGGCTAGTTGGATAGATTGGGAACTAGCCGACCCAGAAGCATAGGTTCCTTCGTCGTTATCGTTGTCCTCGTAAGAACGGTCTTGTGAGCGATTTTCCGCATCCAACCAATCTTTGAAACACACGCACATTTCTAGTGTTTCGAGTTTTAGACTTGTTCTTCTATCGTCCAGAACCCTCCCGGATGCGCTGAAAGCTCGTTCGGAGGCAACAGAGGAGACCTGGATGCCAAGAATGTCTTATGCCATTGCCGCCAAAAATGGATGCTTCCCACCTTGTTGTTTCCACCATGCAAGGAGGTCGAGGCTGTTTATCTCATCGTCGTCCATGCCTTTGGTGAATTCGTAACTCAGGTACATCTGCAACTCCGAGACGTCGCTTTGCGATCTCCTAATTGATGAATCACTGGAAAACCTTGAAATCAAGTTAGTAGCTTGTGAAAATAAATGTTTGGCCTTCTTACTTACGTTTTCTGATGGTTGGGAAGGGCCTGAGCGAGGAACGATGCCATATTTGATTTCATAGACTCTATATAAAGCAAAAAACTGATCCTTCACATGAGTCTTATAGGTTTCTACATCATTGTCATGAGCCATGCATTGAAAATAAACGTCAACTAACATAAATGTGTTTTCATACTTTTGCATAGGATCTAATATGGAAGCAAAAATATAAATCAAAGGAATTTCACTATAATATTTACGCCACTTTGTTTCCATTGCTGGAAGCTAAGATACTAATCATAATCACTTTGGTTGCGATGATCAGCGAAAAGTTGGGCGAGTAAACATGCATTAGAAAGAAAGTTTTGAGCACAAGGCTTGTAAACAGAAGAAAAACAAAACGTCATGTTATATAATAACTATAAAAATTGCATATATCTTTCACAGTTACACCAATCATCCTCATATAAAGCATTTTGTGGAAATTTTTGGTTGTAAAATATTGTTAACGGATTCTTGTACTCAATTGCCTTGGTTAACATGTCGTAGGTGGAATTCCACCTAGTTGGGCAATCGGTTTTAATTTTTATTGCCCTTATCTTTTGTTGTTTTAGAAAACGTTTCCATTCTTGGTATCTCATGTTTGAGCTATTAATAGACATAATAGCATCTCTGATTTTGCTGTAGTATGGGCCAATTGCCCGAATTCCATCCTTTACACATAAGTTAAGTACATGGCAAACACATCTAGTATGAAGAGCATCACCATCTAATATTACATCGGTTAAGTTTTGTTTGACATGATTAGTTGTGTATGTCATAGAGGTTGCATTGTCAAAAGTCATTGACATTATTTTGTCTCGAATGTTGTATTCGTTTATTGCTTCCATTAAATGGTGAGCAATGTTAATGTCGGTGTGTGGGTATTCTAGCATTTTGAAATGTATTATTCTTTTTTGTAACAACCATTGATCATCTACCCAATGGCAAGTCACACATAAATAGTGATATTTATAACCACTATCCCAAGAATCGGCTGTTAAAGACACTCTACAGTTAAGTCTACTTAATTCATCTTGTAACCGGGCTTTGTACTCTAGGAAATTTTTCATTGCGGCGGAATGAACGGTTTTCCTAGAGATTCTTTTATGTTGGGGTTGTAGTGCTTTGTTAATGTAGGTGTTAAATGGGTCACTTTTCGAGAATAGAAAAAGGTTGTTCGGCGTGTACTATCATTTTCCCTAGTTCATCCCTATCCCTCTCATAGTTGTAGGTGAAGTTGTGTGGATGGTATTGGGAAATTTTGGGCTGGGTTGGATCACTAGCTGGTTTTGCACAAGCATTCATGTGTCTAGTTAAGTGTCCCGTCCCGGATTTGGATAGTGCCGAGAATACAACATTACATGTTTTACATTTTCCATGTGTTTGGGCTTTATTTAGGAGGAAATGACGCCATACTCACTCTTTCGGTTTTTCAAAAGTAGCATCTCACTTTCGGTTAACCATTCATGATGTGTGTTTGGGTTAGTAGTAGAAAAAGGGGTAGAACCGGCGACATTTTGGGTATCTTCTTGGCTACTTTGGCTAGAATAATAGTTTTGTTGATCACCAAAATAATTAGGTGGGAATTGATGTGGTGGTGGAAATTGGTTTGGTGGTGGAAATCCCGACATATTATAAGGTTGAAAACCGAAAGATCTGGAAGTACCATCATGCCTAAATGACTCATAGCCCGGAGGGGGAGTAACCGGGGTCATTGGTTGGACTCGGAATTTGGGGGCTCGTTGTATTAGGTGATTCCCTAGAACTACTACTACGGCCAAGTCGGCCTTTCCCCTTCCTAGATGATGGGTTGTTCAATGCCATAATTAACAATTAGATTTTTAATAAAAACTGATTAACAATAATAATAATTAATAACAACAATTTTAACAATAAAAATAACAATTATAATAATTAATAACAACAATTATAACAATAACAATAACAACAATAATAAATAATAACAATAATTGTAATAATAATAGTAATTAATTAGAACAATTATAACAATAACAATAACAATTAACAACAATAATAATTAAACAAGATTATTCTAATAATAACAATAAAACAATAATAAATTAAAGATTAGTTTAGATCTTACAACCGTGCTTCAACGCTCCACTAATTACGATTACGAAGTTTTTAATTTTTTCTGATATTAGGAAAATAATTAGAGATATAAGAGAATTATTAGAGAATATAAGAGATTAAGGATTATTAGAGATTTAGAGAATATAAGAGATAAGAAGAAGAGATTGTGACTTTGTGAATTGGGAAGTGAATGGAAGTGGGTATTTATAGGGAATTTGGGGAGGGATTTGAAAAATTAGCCGTTTTTTTTTTAATTAGTCGTTGGATTAAAACGGTAATATTA